GAATATTTGGCATTTAAATAAATCTGAAGTTAATTCATTTAATTTCTCACATTCTTGATTCACAACTCCTGCATAAGTGACAAAATCTTCATTTACTTTGTCTTTACTAAGTTAAGACATTGTCATCATGTATTAAATAATGAGCTCCTATCACCAAAAAAATTTGATAATATTACAACAGTTTCTTCAAAATTTATCTCACCTGTTTTGTTTTTTTTTGTGGGGGGGAAATATAATTCAAATATTTTTCATGTTCAGCAGGGGACAATTTCCTTAAACATAAATGAACTTTTTTTTATCATTACACTATGAACAATCCCTTTTGAAGATCCCTTCATATCTTCTATAATAAGTTGGAAAAGTTATCCCTTTATCTGGATTGTTTACAAATTCACTGATTGAATTAGGAACAGCATCTGGAGTGAATGAATCTGAAGTCTTTTTTGCCATAGTTTTAGTAAAAATTAAAAAATTTCTGTTGTTGTAATTGCTATTCATGTTGTATTTGTCTCTGCAATTGTTTTTGTTGCTGCAACTGTTGTTCATGTTGTTGCTTTTGTAGCACCAACATTTGAATCATGATATCTTTTAGTTCTTTTATTTTGCTGTACTCTGCTGAATATTTTGTAGATTAATTTTTGAATAACTTTACCTCATTATCTCTCTGTAGTCCTACAAATATGACGTCTCTTCGGTGAAGGGGGTAAATATTACTGAATATCCTATTATGATGTGTAGGATACATATATTTTATTTTTTCCTCATATAAGTTCAACAAATACTCATTGCCACTTTTTAATGCCCGTTTGTAGGAGAGACTTTGTAATTCAGATACAACAATAGTAATGCCCTCAAATAATACTCAGTCAGACACTGCTAATTCCCATATATATATATATCTTTACCCGTCAAGTGATAATTCAAGATGAGGTCAACTGTGCTTGCTCTCTGGCGATCCATGTTCAAACACAAGTGTCGGCAGTGACACTTTATTCCTATATGACATGCTGTCATCTAAGTATTTTGCAACAATTTGTGCCATGGGTTTTGGGTCATTGTCATATTGGAACATACAGTGACACGCCAAACACAGCTTTTGTACACATTGTTTTCTATTATTTTTAAGAATAGCCAAATGCTACTCTTAATCCATGATAGCCAGTACTCTCACTGGTTCTCCTGGTCCAGAAGCAGCAAAACATTCCCAGAGAAAGAATGCTCCCACCACCGTGCCTAATTGTAAGGAGGGTATTTTTTTGATTTGTGAGCTTCATTCACTTTCCTCCATACATAACAGGAGTTCATAGGATCAAATAATTCTAGTTTGGTTTCATTTGACCATAAAACAGAATTCCAATATTTGCTTCTATGTTCTAAATGGCTTCTAACATAAGATAATCTGCATTTTTGGTGTTTAGCTTTAAACAAGGCAGTTTTCCTTGGGCAACAAACTTGAAGATCTATTCAATAAAAGCATGTAGTTACTGTCTTCATCAATACATTCAACTGTCAAAATGTCTTTACATCATTGAAAATATCCTTTGTCATTAAGTGAGGATTCTTCAAGACATCACTAACAATTTTCCTTTCCATTCTCTTGGACATGAACCGTTCTCTGCCATTCTTTAATTTATTTTCAATACAATGAGTCTCATTGTACTTCTTGATGATGTAACAAATTGTTGATCTAGGAAGATTAAAACACTTGGAAAGTGTTGCATATCTATCACCTTGTTTGTACGCATCAACTCTCTTCATTCAGAGCTTCTTGTCAAGTTCAGCCATCTTTGTCATAGTTGCAGAACAAATGAGTTATTGCATTATGTGGCACTCACATATTGTCTTCTTCATTACCTTTTAGAATGCTATAGAACATGTTACGACCCCACCATATCACCCAAGGTTCAACAGACATGCAGAATGGTTTGTGGGAACATTCAAAAGAGCATTGAAGAAAGCAAGTCTTGAGAAATTAAATGAGGAAGCAGTTCAAAATTTTCTGAGAATTTACTGAGTAACACTTAACCCCAATACACCATCAGACATGTTGCTGGCAAAATTAATGTTTGCCAAAATAGTAAAATCGGTGTTATTAAGTTGTTACCAAGTCGAAAAACACAAATGGTTAACATAAGCGACACCAAAAGTTTTAAGATTGGGGCTATAAATTGTTCTTTAGAGCATATAAGGATGGCAAAAAAACATGGGAAGACGGCATAATATCAGCAAGAATCAGGAAATTGATTTACACGGTGAAAGAAAAAAATTGAACCATAAATGGCACAATAATCAGCTTAAAAAAAAAAATGATTCATTGATGAAAGATCTGTAATATTGGAAGAACGAATAAAAATGCTATATGACATTTTTGATATGCTAGCACTACAACAAATTGTGGAACCTACAAGAATAACTTCTAGAAAAAGAATGTGCACTGAAGAATTGGAAGTAGATACAAGATGGAAATTCTACAATATCAAGTACATTAGCGAACTCTCCAGAAAGATGAGGAGGCGTTACTAATACTAATAAAAAATATTTATAAAAAGTATTAATCTTAAAAGTGGGGATGTTGGGGAGTAAGTAGTACACCCCTGCTGACTAAATGAACTAGTCCATTACTATAAAAATCTCCAGGTCAGAGGTAAGATTGGTAGCTGTTTGGAGTCAGTCTTCAGACTAACTAATACAGGAGTCATGGCAAGTAGCTGAAGCATTACATACAAAGAATCCTTATATGAAGTATGTTATATAAGTAAGAGTGAATTATAACAAAAGCCATAGAATAGTGGTGTTATAATAGTTTCATTAAAGATGACTTACAATGTACTGTGATTAAGCTTTTTATTCAATTTTTATTGAGTGTATTCATATATATATATATATATATATATATATATATATATATATGAGAATAGTTGTGTGTACACACACACACACACACACACACACCTATTCTCTTGACTTCTCAAGAGAATTATAATGAAATATGGTTGCTTTCGGAATATTATTTGAATAAATAATTCTATTCCAAAAAAGTATGTTTCTGTTCTCCATTGACTACCATTCCTTTGCATGAGAATTGAGAACTGATTTTTACTTTGTTTGCATTGAAATATTCTTTCCACCAACATTGATTGTTTTCAAATGGTCTTCACACACACACATTTTGGGTGTAACAAAAAAATTGTCCAAATCATGTAACAGCAAAATTGTCCAATTGTTAGCTTAAATTCTGAACCATTGTATCTTCGGAATGATTAAAGATTACCTTTCTGGAATTCTCTGAGTGTCTTTATAACACTATTTGACTCTACTTTTGACAATAAGAATGTATTTAGCTCTAAGTTGAAATGGTGATCCCTCTTGCTGTTGTGACCTCCTGATCCAGTTTTTCTCTCTATTGTTCCCTTATTTTTTTTTTTTTAAATTTATTCACCATTCTCTTGATGGTTCTTGAATGGACTTTGAAGATGGAAGCCAGGGTATGAATGTTGGTACCATTACTGAAGGCTTGAATGATATTTTTCCTCTCATCATTGCTCAGTTGGGAAGACATAGTGGGCTTGACAAAACGATTTAAAACTTGTTCTCTTTCTAGTTGAATAACTGAAAGGGATTTTCAGTGATTCTTACGACAAATGGTGTCAAGATGGCTAAACGTCTTATCTAAAAACCTGTAAAAAAACCTTAATTAGCTTAGTGGTTTTTTAGATATTAAAAATTTTGTAGGATGGACAATTATGTTGTTAGACCATTTGGACAATTTTGCTGTTACACCCATTGATATGTCTGTTTTTACTACATACCTACTTTTGCATCCCTTTGTGTGTGTGTGTATATATATATATATATATATATAAAGCACATGTCACCAGTAATTACTCATGTGATCTTTATATAGTAAAAATAAAATATTTTGCATTTTATGCATAATAATCAGAGTAACCTTCATAATTTTGTTGGTTTAGGTGCAGATTGTGCCACAGAAGGAAAATGTAGCTGCTAATCTATTCAGTGTAGGCACTACCTACCTTGCCTACCTATATGGCATGTCTGTGATAGATATATATGTTAAATTTAACTGAGAATGTCTGTTTAATTTTTATTGTATCTTTCCAATTTTTGAATAAGATATTGTACATGAGAACTGAAACTGTATCTAAGCTGTCCAATGTTCATGTTTCCTTTTGTTCCTCTTCAAGTAGTTTTTCCCGTCTCAGTCAGTATCAACCTTGGTGCTGTCATTATTATAGACAAGATTTTGTTAACTACCTCAAGGCATTTTTTAGAACACTATAATTCAAATGAATCTAAAGTGATATCATATGGAAAACTGTTACACAGACTACACCGGAAAAGAATCTCTCAGATAGTTACATCTTATTTATTATGCATATAAAATATTTTAATATTTAATATGCATATGAAATAATGTGAAGATGCTGTCTTATGTAGTGAAAGATATTTTATTTAATGCCGATTTTTCTTTTTGTTTTGTTTTTAATTTTAATTTTTGTTTTTGTTCTTCTATTGTTGCAGGTTTTTTTTATAGAATTTTTGATATTTCTTTGCAATGTGTGCTGTATAATATTTTTATATTATCTACTGTTATTTTTCTCATGTTAATAGTTGTATTTTGGTTATTTGTGATGATTGATTTATGCATGAATTGCACATTTCAGCATGTGACAAGTTAAGGTACGAGAGTGTGTGGTATTTGTTAGACCAATGTATGAAATTCAGGTGTTTTTGATCATTGATATTGGAGATACAATCTCCAAAATAATATGAGAATTCATAAACAACATTGTTTTTATGTTGGGGAATTTTTGAGATAATGATTAGGTTAGTTCTTCTGAAGTTTTTATATTAAATAATAAATCTAACATATTTTTTGGTATCATTGAATGATATATAATGACAAATTTCAGGCTCACATTTTTATTGGTTGAATCATTTCAAACTTTCATTTTTTTATATTTTTTAACTCATTTCAGGCCCACATGGCTGCAGCTGTGCCAAATGATATCAAATCTTCCAAATGGATGGCAGAACCTATCACAAGTATTGAGGAACTAAAAAAGGTAAGTGGAGTTTCAAAGTAATTTTGTGTCCTTAGCTGTTTTGCTGCCAAGCTCAAGTGAAAAACAATATTCTTGTTCATCTGAAAAGTTTTCCTGTTTCGATTTGTTCTTTGAGAACCAAAAAAAATTCTGTTTTTTTAAGATGTGCAATAGAAATCTTTGCTATCTATCTATATCTATCTATCTATCTATATATATATATATATATATATATATATATATATATATATGACATAGCTGTCTGCATATTGCTTCTGTAACAAGATGTTTTGGAAAGATTGAATTACTTTTGGAAATTGAAAAAAAGAAGGCAAAAAGAACATCACAAGAAAGTGATGGTGATTTTGAATGAAAAAAAAAAGAGTATCCACTTTGGATAAGCAATATTTGATTAACAGGAATGATATTTCCATATACATGGGTGGGTCAATAAGTTTGTAGCCTGATGCATAATTTCTACCTGAATTTTGTTCACTGTGTAATGCTCAGTCTATCTTAGTGTTTGCCAACCTTTTTTTCAACCAACAAACCTTGGGCACACACATTTTGTAAAGTGGATAAATGCCCACCAGCCACCTGAGTGTGTTAACCCCTGCAATGAAATAAAAAATCCTAGCACCCCCTTTCAGAATAATAGAGCCCACAGATCTGTGAAAAACTTGTCAATTTCAAGGTTATTACCACAAGAAGAAATATTACAACTTTTATCTCATTATTTATGGCCCTCCAAACACTGATCCTAAATTCTCACCTCTTCTTCCTCTCAGCTAGGTGTTTATATGTCTACCTCTCATAGGATTTAGGCACAGTTAGGTTGCCCATGTGTTTATCTGTCAAGATCAGCTACTAACATTACATGAAGCATGAATCTAATACCAATGGCTAGGAGGTGATCTTTCAGATCAACCCACTGGTGCATCTGGCTTCTTTGAAAGACATAGCAAAAAATCTATTTTGGGAACATCTGATGTGAGTCACATATAGTACAAAAAAAATACATTCTCACACTTCTCCCTCTCAGGTACATGTTTATATATCTACCTGTCATATGACAAGTAATAATCTGAATGGGAAAGGGCTGGAAAATATGTTACCTGAGGAAGAATGTCTCATTTCAGACTCCACATTATTCACTGCAACATTTTTGAAAGGCATAGATGGAAACTGTTATACTGTCATATTTCAGTACTTATATCTGACATTGTAACATAAATGTATTGAATAGTACTGACAATGATACAATATATATATATATATATATATATATATATATATATAACAATAATATTAACAATAATTAAGATAATATTTTGATATATGCATGAAATGTATTTTGAAATTAATAATTCTCATAGACAATCATTTTTGCCTCCCATCAGCATGGCTGATGCTAAGCTCTCCAGGAGAGCAACTCTTGCATATCCATGATCTCACATTTCCCACATTGAATCAATTATTAGGTCTGCTGCTAGGTAAGTTTACTCACTGTGTTGTGGTGTCTGACATTTTTTTTATTTTCTCGGCAGAATCCATTTAGCACATTTATATATCTACCATTTGTCCATGTATTGAATATTGCTGCCATATGTTGTCTTGATCTCCCCTAATATATCTCGAGATTCACAACAAAATCCAAAAATGGTCTGCAATGTTATTAGTCCTGACCTGGCATCTCAACTTCAGTCACTTTCTCACCACGTCACATTGCTTCTCTCTGACTTTTCTACTAATATTTTCATAATAATTTTTCTAATGAGGTCTCCTACTTTGTACTTCAACCACATGAATTTAAGTGTAATACTAGATTGGCAATTAGGTCTCATCATTTCACTCTTTAACTATATGTGTTTATTGTTATTTTAGTGTTTTGATGTTTCTACTATTTTTAATAGCCAATGTAAACTCTAGTAAAATGACCTGAGGTGCATTTTATTTTTCCATATAATATTTAAGAAAAACCAAAGTATCTTTGAAAATGACTTAACTCAAAACAACCTATCACAGTATATACAATTTACTTAATATTACTGTCTTTCATGAGTCTAACACCATATAACAACCACTGTCAAGGCACTTTAATGGTTAGCAAGCTTGTCTTACTAGATCAGTTACAAGTTTGATCCTCACTGGGTGCTCGACACTTTTGGCTTTTTGCTACATTTAAGATATACTTAGAAAATAACACTGTCTACCTGATAATAAGAAATACTTGTTCTGTCGTTTCCACATCTTGCTTTTTCTCATTTTCTACAAGTATTTTTGTATGTATAAATGTTAGGGGATTTCTAATTATTCAACCTGAGTTATAACTCCCCCTACAATATATATACACAAATTAAGATTTAGACTTAAGGTCTTCAAAGAAGGAAAATACATTTGATTCACCCTAATATACAATAATAATAATAACGATATATTGGTGATAGAGATTGTCATGCATTTCATGAACCAGAGAGATTAAATAGTTGGGACATCCAAAATGAATGAGAACTTTTACACAAAGCAACTCTTGGAATGCTGTCAAAGGCCTTTTCTAAGTCATAGAAAACAAGGAAAAGGGTTTTTGTTGTTCCCTGCTTTTCTCTTGGAGTTGTCTTGCACAGAAAATCATGTTCATTGTACCATAAGAGGCATGGAATCCACATTGGAAGGGTCTTTTGGTGATGATCCAGAGCTAATTTAGAAGGATCCTGGCAAAGATTTTTCCAGTGATGGCAAGTAATGATGTTCCTCTATCGTTCCCATTGACTTTTTAGTCACCTTTTTTGAAAATCCTTATGATTACTGCATCTTTTAGTTATTGCAGGACTTGTTAGGATTCTCTGAAGGTGAAAACATGGGTTTGCAAAGGTAAGCCTCCGTGTTTGGTCAGTTCAAAAGTATTATTGTCTGGGCCTGGGGATTTTTTTGATTTTATTTGCATTGTAGTTTGCTTGAATTCTAGGAAAATAGTCCTCATATTCATCCATAGCTGAGGAGGATGATGAGGAATATTTCTCAGGAAGTCCTCAGCTATGGTTGAGTATCTATTTAGGAGGGTGGAAAAATTTTCCTTCCAGCATTGGAGTATGTCTTGTGCATCACTGAGGGTGTTTGTATTATCAGCTGCTAGAAGGGATACAGTTGATGTTCCAAATAATTGTTTAATTCCAGCAGAGCCATTTCTTAGATCACGTGCATGTGCATCACCCTGAAGTTTGATTGTTTTTTGTTGCCACCAAATGCTCTGCAGTTTTCTTAGTTTTGTTTGACAGTCCTGCTTTGGCTTCTGGAAATACTTCTTTTTGAGATTGGATCTTTGCTTGTTCATGAGTTAGATGAGCATTCTTTGTTGATTTCAATAATGTTTTCATCAAACCAGTCTTCATTCTTGGTCTTGGCCAAACTGATGACAGCATTTGCTGTTTCTGTGACTATATTACGAATAGTTCTCCATTCTTCATCAACAGATTGGTTGTTGACTGGATTAGAACTAAGTTCCTGACTTAATTTGTCTTCAAAGTGGTTGCATTATCAGGGTTCTGAAGTTTTCAGTTGTCATATTTTTCCACAAGATGGTTGCTGATGTTGCATTTTTGTTCTGTTACGAATGGTGATTCCCATGCTTGTGTTGACAAGGTGATTATCTGTACAGCAGTCATCAGCATCATGGCCTACTTTTGATGAGGAAGTCTCTTTTGTAATGTTGCTGTATGATGGCATTGTCTATCAGATGCCAGTGTTTGAATAGGGGATGCATCCATGTAGTCTTGAAGTGAGGAGGAAGGTGGAACTGTGTATTCATGATGAATAAACTGTGTTCTGTGCATAGACCTAATAACAGATGTCTTGACACCTTCTTAAAATGATGATATTTTTCCATAGGTGATGATCCTTTTCTACCCTTGCATTGAAATCTCCTCGTAATAAGAGTTTGTCTTTCGGTGGCATGTTGACAATGATGTTACTCAGTTGTTGGCAAAACTGATTCTTTGCTTCTTCATCAGCATCAAGAGTTGGAGCATAAGCAGAAATGAGAGTGATGTAATTCTCTTTAGGAAATTTTAAACCAAAAGTCATAAGCTCCTTATTGATGGCACCTGGTGTTACGTGATGGTCTTGTATGATGCAGGTTTTAATATCAAAACCAACTCCTTTGATTCTTGTCTCTTCTTTATCTTTGCTTTTTCAAAAGAATGTATTGTCAGAACCAGTTTCTACAAGGCTTTCTTCTACTAAAAGCCATGTTTCACTGAGGGTATCCACATTGAGTCTAGCCAGTTTTTTTTAGACTAGAACTGTGCATATTGCTGATCTGTCGGTGTTGACAATATCAAGAAGAGTTCTAATATTCCAAATATCATATTGGTAGTCTTAAGTTTCATGTTGTTTTGACCACATGATGGGTGGCCTGCCAGGTGTGGTTTCCCAACTGGGCACTGGTAGTGTTTTCTGATGTGTAGTCCAGATTTTCTAGGACCTTCCTCGATTAATTTGGGCATCAATACTCCTAAATAGGCCTGCCCAGACGAATGTAGAACTGGACTCCTGAGTAGTCATCAGATCTTAGAAGGATGAACATCACACATTTGCCACCAATATACAAGTTCAAAACTAGTTTCACCAAAACTTGCTTCCATCATCTATTCCCTATCACCATTTGGCTTTCAAGAGTTGGTTGGATGTGAAAGAAAATCAGAATAGAATAAAGTTCTGATGACCTGAATTTGTTTAAGGTGGACCTAAACTTGCCAGGAAGTGACCAACATACTTGATTTCATGACCTTCCTCTGCAGCATATATGGAATAAGACATGCAGAATCAAGTTATGAAACTGCAATGGACTACTGCTAACTAAGTTATAATTTCAAGTAACGCCTTCTCTAGCATGTCTGTCTTGCATAGCCCTCTTCATCCGCTGGTTGAGATCTGTTATAATTATCATCCGCTTGTTCCACCATTGGAGTCTGAAGATCATGCTTAGTCTGGTCCCTTCCCTGGATGTGTACTACATCAAAATA